ATAATAGTAAAAGTGTAATATGCTAATTAGACCGGACAGTTGAACAACCTTCTGGAAGTCATTCCAGACATCCTTCCAGATGAAGCCACTATGGCAGGGGCTGAGACAGAGGTGGTTAGGGGCAATCAGGCAGGCAGGCAAGCAGTTAGGGGTCATCAGGTAGGCAGGCAGAAGGGTTAGGGGCGATCAGGCAGGCAGGCAGGCAGGTGAGCCAGTGGTCCTGGATTGCAAGATGGATGATCCTGTGGGATTGGGCCTAAACCAACAGTCGGACATCTCCCAAAGGGTCCCTGATTACGAGAGGGTTCAGGCTGGGCTGAGGGACATACCCATCTCCCCCTGCCTGACCTCCCCGCCCCCCCTTCTACATGTATTTCAAGTACCAGACCTCTAGTTTTGAATATTAGCCCTAGTACCATGATTTTTTCACCATAATCTACCTTGGACTTTTGTCACTATAACATTGATAATACTGCTCCATTTCATGAATGATTATGTAATCCTTGGTATGGTTATATTATAAATTAGCCAGTCCCCTAAGATACATATTTAGATTGTTTCTAATCTTTTCTTGCTAGTAACGATGTTAAAATGAATTTCCTACTTTGTCTATTATTTCAGACATATCTAAGTATATCTATAGGATGAATATCTAGGAGAGGAATTGTGATACTACCACACTTGCCTCTCTAGGGGTACTACTAAATTCATCTCACCAGTGATGTAGTTCCAGTCAAGCCCAATCCTCCAGTAAATCTGACATTTATTTGTGGGTACAGACTAGGGTAGGATTCCATCTTTTTTTTTTTCAAGTTAGTGAGCTCGATGTCTCAATTCCCATGAGTTGATAAGTCTTTTCACCTATAATTTGAAATTCCACTTTTATTATAATAGAAATGTATAATTGGGTCTTCTCCTGAATTTTTTGTTTTGTTCCATTGGTCAGTTCTCCATGCACTAATTAATTCCACAATATTTTAATTACTTTGATACTATAATGTTTTTCAATATGATATTACTCATAAAGAATTGTCTTGGAAAGTTCTTGTTAAATCTCTATAGAACTTTAGAATCAACTTGCCTACTTTGTGGTGGTATTTATTTAATCTTACAGGCAATTGAATTTTGTCGTTTTTCATCTAAATACAGGCATGTCTTTCCATTTGTTTATCTTCTTTTGTGTCAAAATTTTAGATTTTTCTTCACACAAATTGTGTCATTTCTTCTATTTTTTACTGGGTATTTTATTTTTCTTACTACTTTTGTAAATGATTGGGTCTTATTTTAAACCTCCTAACTAGTTTTTTTATTTGTATAATGCATGTTGTTAATTTTTATTATGTTAACTTGTACCCAAACAAATAATTGACTAAATTATTTGATTATTTAAAATAGCACATCAGCTGATTTTCTTGATATGTGATCTGCAAAAATAATTTTAACTTCTAAACAAATTTTATGCCATATTTCTTTATTTTACCTATGTTGGTTACCTTTGGCAGAATGTTAAAAGATATCTTGGAATATTCTTGATTGGTTAAGTATTGTTTACTCATTCCTATTTATTAGAGGCTGGATGTTGAATTTTACTAAATACCTTCTCCACATGTATAGAAATCTTAATGAGATCATTAAGATTTCTATACATGTGGAGAAGGTATTTAGTAAAAACATGAGATGAATTATATTTCTAGGTTTTTTAAAATAAGTATTCCTAGAAACCCTGAAACTAAACATTCGGTTATAGTACATTCTTTTGATATTTGAATGTATTAACATTTATTAATTTATGTTAATACTTAACATTGTACTATAAATTTAAATTCTTCATTTGATATTTTTTATACCAGTATTCCTATGGGACACTAGTTTTCTTTTTCTGTGCCTTTTTGTGGGGTTTTCTTACCACTATCATGTTAGATTTCTTGCTTTCCTTCTTTACTATGTTTTGGAAGAGTTTAAATCACATTGGAGTTGTCTGGTCATTAAAAGTTTGATAGAATTACCTTGTGAATATGTTTCTACCTTGAGTTTTTCTGGCAAAGCTCTTAGTCAACATCCTCTGTTTCTTTGTAAATTGTCTTTTTTAAGTATTCCATTTTTTTTCTGTGGACAAGGTTTGGTCATTTATTTTTTACTAGAAATTCTATTTCTGCACAGAATTGAACATAGTAGTTGCTTATGACTAGTATTTTAATTTCCTTTTTACATATGGGTGTTAATACATTTCTTAGTTTGTATGTTTTTGTGCTTTGTTTCTTCATCGTTGATTAGATTAGCTAATGATAATCTCTAAATCTTTCCTAAGAAGAACCTCTTGGATTAATATTGTTCTATAATTTTTGCTCTTCAACTAGTACTGCTTTAGTTTTTTAATTATTGTTTTTGTAATTAAAATCTCTCTGATTCAATGGTTTATGTAAGTTTTCAATTTTTGCTATTAATACCTGGTTTTATTTCATAGTGACTAGCAAATGTCTATTTTGAAATCTATTAAGGTCATTTTGGGCTGATTTTATGCCCCGTTTTAATGACTGTTTCTTGGATTTATTGAAGATACTTTTGGGATTTTAGAATAAATTCAACTAGATCTGTTTTGTTAATTAATAAACTTAATTAAAGGTCTCCTATATCCATACTTAATTTTGTTCACTTAATGTTTTTATGAACAGAGAGAATGAATTAAACTATCATAATCCTTTATTCCTGTTAGCATTCTCTATTTATTACAGGTTTTGCTTTAAAACTGTCTGTGCCCTATGTGCCTTTTTTATATACAATTTTTGCCCAGTTACTGTGTTGATCCCTGATTTATTTGGGTTGTATTTTTTAAAATATATTTTTATTGATTTTGTACAGAGAGGAAGGGAGAGAGATACAGAGTTAGAAACATTCATGAGAGAGAGTCATTGATCAGCTGCCTCTTGCACACCCCCTACTGGGGATATGCCCGCAACCAAGGTACATGCCCTTGACCGGAATTGGACCCGGGACCTTTCAGTCCCCAAGCTGACGATGTTCTATCCATTGAGCCAAACCGGTTTCGGCTGGGTTGTATTTTTATGATATACCTTTGCCTATTCTTTTTAAATATTTCTGTCACTATAAGTGTGTCTCTTGTAGACAGTGAAATTTTTGTTTTGTGATTTAGTATGTTTTTAATTATTGAGTTTGGTTAATTTGTATTTATTAAAAGGACAAATTTACTTGGTTTTGGTCCTCTCCTATTTAATATGCTGCTTATTTTTATTGTTTCTTTTTTTGTTTTAATTTTACTGCATAATGTGTTTTTTTATGGGGTTCTTCAGATAATTTGGAAGTTTTGAATTTTCGTTCTAAAGGCTGTCTTTATAAGTTCGTATAGTATACTTAATTCCTATGATAATGTCTAATAGCTCCCTACAATGAACAGGGAGGACATTAGCACATTTTCATTTTGGCTTAATTTTTTTCTCATTTAAAACTACAGTTGATTATTTTTGTTAGTGTTGATGTTTATCAAAATATACATGTGATTTATCACCTTTGATTATTAGTCAGCAAAGGTGACAATCAGTATTTGTAGATTAACTTCACCATCATCTTGTGATCCCATTGGTTATTACTGCAAATCTGATTTGTCAGGGCCCCTGTAGGGTTCACCGCAATTTCGTGTCTCTTTCTTCTCAGCCCTCAGTTAACTGCATTTGTAGAGAAACCAGATACTTTGTTATCTATTTCATATAAAAGGCTAATATGCAAAGTGCCTCTTGGGAGTTTGACCAGGAGACCGGGAGTTTGATTGCTAACTGTGACATGCCCTGACCACCAGGGGTAGGCATGGAACAAAGGAAGGCCCCGGCTGGCAGTCCGAAGGCCCCGATCATCTCTGATGGCAGGCCAGGCCTAGAGACCCTACCCCATGCACAAATTTCATGCACTGGGCCTCTAGGCTTCTATAAACTGCAAACACAGAATGCTTAGCATTGATGGGGCTTACTGCTTTTTTGTTGTTGAAATTTGTCCTCTTATTGAGTTTATAGAGTTCTTCAGTGATGATTTGTTTGGAATGCTAATGTTTAAATGACAGATTAGTTGATACAAATCTTGTTTTACTTAATTTTCTTGAGATGTGTAGGCATTAGCCTTGGTTCTTCCAACTTAGAATGTTTCTCTGGCCTGATTTGTGTCATGGTGTTTTTGTTTTTGGATCCCCAACAGACTCTGATTCCAGTAGTTTACTGGTAAAGGGTTTGATTGCCGGGGAATGGAATATGGTACAAATTTCACCAGTATCTATAACATTTTATTTCCTTACAAAATACAAAAAAGGAAAGATATGAAGCAAATATGTCAAAATATTAACATGAGTTTGATATTATTGGTGAATACATGGGAATCTTTAGTATTATTCTCTATGGTCTGAAGTATATTTGAAATATTACATTTTTTTACATTTAAAAAAATGCCACATAACTTAAATCAGGGAGAGCTTGTATACTTTTGTGATCCAGTCCAGACTATAATTTATTGAAAATTAGTTTTTGCTTTATTAATCACAACATGCATTGTTGTTTTCTTTAGATGTTGAGAACCACTCATGTGATTTCTATGTTTTGTTTGGCATTTCCTAAGTTTTGTATAAAAGCATTTTATATTCTAAAGTTTTATGGCTGGAGATTATAAAATTCTAAATTTAGACTCTGTACAGTGGATGTTAGTGGTAATTGCTCCAGAGACTAAAAGTACATGGGATGTAAGACTAAAACCTGTTAAGTGATTTGTATTGATGGTTTGGTATTATTTTAAACAGATATTCCTCTAACTATACAAAAATAAGATTGAGGTTTAAAATAACCATGATAATTGAAAAAGTATTCAGGACTCCTGTCCTTTCAACAGGGCTCTGAGAAGTACAAGTAATAATGAAAGAGAAGTAAATTATCTCTATTTTCTTACTGCTATGCATTTTTATGTTTTATACTAAAAGATTTTTAAGTTTGTTTTTTCTCTGTGTTCAGGTACATGTCTCGAGTCCACGGTATGCATCCAAAAGAGACCACCCGTCAGCTGAGCTTGGCTGTGAAAGATGGTCTTATTGTTGAAACTCTCACTGTGGGCTGCAAAGGTTCAAAAGCTGGTATTGAACAAGAAGGATATTGGTTGCCAGGAGATGAAATTGTAAGTATGTTTTATTTGATAAATTTGGATAAGCTGACTTTTAACTTTTGAACAGTATTTAACTACAACCTTTAGAAACTCATTTTCAGCAGTTTAGTAATGTTTCTCTTTAACATTTTTTACTAACATTAAGGACCTACATTGGTAGGGTGGATATTTTCCTCTGTGTTTCTTTAGTAGGAGAAAACTCACTTTTATAAGGAGCCTGCCTTTTCTGTGTAGTTTACCTTGAATCTAAAACATTTAAACAAAACAAGCAAAACCCTTTTATTGTACACACAATTCACGGTACTTCTAAGTATTTTAATAAATATTAGTAAAAAATGTTTCAGTGGAGGATAATGTTGATGCCGTATTGACAGCTTGGAAGGAATAGTCTGGCTTTTCAGGGACATACCTTACTCAGGTTGGTTGATGGCAGAGCCCAGAGCCATGCTTCAGGAGGGTTTGCAGGTGACAAGGTTCCAAATGTTAGACGCCTCTGGCTAGTGTCTTTATTGATTTCTGTGACTTGAGTGTGTTTTGTGGCATTTGACAGAAATCATAGTAAAGATAGTTAATTTTTTAATATTTCTATTGTACTTAGTTATTAAGTTACACTTTAATATTTTTCTTTGTAATATATAATTTTATATTCAGGGTCATGTAAGAAGTACAATATTTTTCTTATGTAAAGACTGATTTGGTGTAAAATTTCCATCTTCCTACCTCATTTGTTTTTGATATTTCTAACACCTTGATTTTAAAGGTCTACTTTTTGCAACAATATCATTTAAGAAAATATGTTTCAAATTTAATAGGAGTGAGTTATTTTAATTTCTGAAAGGAATGGATTTCATAATTAAGTATTTTGAGAGTGTTTATATCATGAATTCTCTAAAATTTAATGTTATAAAAAATGACACAAGATCTTAAAATTGGTTCTTTGTGGAAACATTTCCCAAAACCTTTGAGTTGTATTTTCCTTTCTGGCTCTACATCAGGTGAGCCAGGAACACATTTCTCAGTAGTCAGCTCTGTGCGGTAGACTCATAGCACATCCCCTGTGGAGGGCTGGCCGCAGAGGCAGCTATGAGTTACAAACTTGTTCAGTTTTAACATTGTTTTTGTCATTTTAATTTATGCCTTCAAAGTTTCAGAAAATAAAATTCACATTTTCTACAAATAAAACTTAGAAGAAAAAAGTGTTTATTTTCTCTGGTATCATTTAATTTGCACACTAGAAGTGTTCTTATAAACTTAAGTAAAGAATGTTTATATCAGAATAATTTTTCTGTTGACTTCCATATAAAAAAGTACAGTTTTGTTTCCAGTAAAGAAACTCCAGATGCCAAGTCATAATAATATTTGTTTATATCCTGGGTTAACAGGAGGGCCATTGATAATTGATAGCTTATTATATACTCAGAATAACCCAGTTAATATAAAATTTCTAATCCCCAAATATTTGGAAATGTACATATTTAATATAGAATGCTATCCTGATAATTTCTGAGATTTATATAGTAATTAACCAGTAGTAAGTACACCTTAATCCACAGGATTTTGGTTTGTGGATCTTCCCCCCCCCATAAAAATGAAAAAGTGATTTTAGTTATTCTTACTTTTTAGATTTGTGCTTTTCCCACATGCATTCTTCCTCTTCAGTTTGAAGTTTCCATGTTCAATTTACTTAAATGAGCAGTTAATGAGTTATGCTTACCACTGCATTAGGTTATGTATTCTTTTTTTTAATTTTTACATGTACTTTACTGCATATATTTATAGCACCATCCTTTTCTTTTTTTCTAGATGAAATCTTATATGTAAATCAACCAACCAGTATACAGATTTTATTAATTCATGTTGGTTCTTATTCACATTTTTATACTGATTATGCATGTATGATGTAAGTATAAATGAGTATATAAAAGTTGTGCCTAGTTTATAAAAATATGCAAATATTAAAAATTCAGAGGTAGCAGAAAGAGGTAAGGTCTTATATGTACTAGTATAATAGACAGTCACTGGATCTGTATTTAAGGCTTAACTATAAAGTGATTAATTATATTTGTATCTCATAACTGTGGCTGGTATATCACCTGGCTACCCCAGGGGCTGTCATGTGCTGCAGTTGTCATGCCCTAGTATACTCTAGAAGGACACATTACTGTGTCACACTTGGCACAACACAGTCATCTCACACTTGCCAGCTCTTTGTTTATGGGCTGTGGGGCCCATGCGTCTGAGCTACTGTATGGGGCCAATTGCCAACTACACAACTTAGGAAGTCACACTCAGTTCTCAGACATCATATGCTTGTATGTTTATTCAGCAGTTTTCTAATTTATGGCAGGTAAGTGTCTCATTCTAGCAAAACCTGTCTTAGGGAAGGGTCACCTTTTCTGATTTGCACAAAGGAACTCTGGGCTAGTGATAGCCCTGTAGGCTGGCATTTGAGTCTAGGACCTTCCTTTATAGTTTCTCTACCTTATATATAATATGTGGCCTCTGAAAACTTGACTTTTTAATTTGAAAGGTTTATAGTATTATTCATCTTGTCAACTGACTCAATATCAAAAGAAAAAAGTCAAGTAGTACTTACATATATCTTTATATATCTGTATATATGTGAGAATGTTTTGGTTATTTTTAATTCAAAGTTGCAAATATTCTTCACCCAGGGAAATTCTGTTATTTGAAAAGTGGGTATAAAGCACTTCTTTTCCTTCTATAATAGCCTCTAAAAATAGTATCTCAGAGATGTGGAAAAGTTGATTTCTCTTGGTAAGTCCCATAAGTTACATCCTCAAGAGATACTTGTATTAGCAAAGAGGCTACATTCTCCTTGTCCTTTCTTTTCACCGTTATGGTAAGAAAGACTAGGTAGGCAAGAGTGCAGTTTCTTTATGTCACTCAACTATAGTTGAGCAAAGAGTTCATTGGTGTCACATTTTTATTTCACCTCTGCTACCTCCCCTGCCATAATGCTGATTTTTAAAACTTGGTTCAATTGAAAAAATATCTATGGCTTAATCAAAATTATTTTTATTAAATCCAGCAATGTTATAAGTTTAATTCTAATAATAGGTTATAATTATATATAATCTGTTCAAGAGGAAGACACCTGTATAAGTCAAGGATGGTGGCTTTAATTGTACTGAGATTCCTTTTAGACTGGAATGCTTTTTAGACAAGTTGAGTTGTTAGTCTCTACTACCATTTGTAGCCCTATTGAAGTGATAATTCTTTTGTAAAAACTGATAAAATTAGGCAAGAGATAAGCATCTTTATGGTGATATTTTGAATGTTTGTTGGAGATAGTATAATAAAAATGTAAATATTAAAAATGAAGGCACTCTCAATTTAAATAGTTTGCTTAAACATTAGTCAATAAACAAGGAAAAGTATACGTACCAACTAATTTTTAAAATTACAAACTTGCTGAACCTGGGGCCTCTTGTAAATTTTCTGTGGACTTCCAGATTTGTATTATTAATATTCATTAATCAGATCCAAATAATGATTTCAGAGATGGTTTTCATAATGTTTGAAATTATATTAGTAAAAGGCCAGTATACTAGGGCACAGAAGGAAACTTTCTGATATCTGACCATTTAATATTTTGTTATATCAAGTTTTTTTTTCTTTTGATTTTTAATAAAGAATTACAAGTTCTGATAGATTGGTTTACTATCTGCTTTCTCTAAAGAAATAAATATATATGAATGGCTATATTTAATCCACATTTGATCACAGTATTAAGTGTCCTTTAGTCTAACAACTTAAGAAATACATTTCTTGGGCAGAATTTTACCATTTACTTGGGCTAAATTAAGTTTGGCATTTAGTAATAAATTTAATTCTTATGAGTTAAGGGCTCACTAAAGGTAGAACGGTCTTTCAAAGGTATTTAATGTTATTTGTCAAATAATGTATTTTGAATTAGAGGAAGTTAATACTAATTCGATGATTTCCAAATGTATTCACGGTTCCTGGCACAAAGCTATGACTCTACCTTATTACTTGACAAATACTTTTGATCTGACATTAAACAATTTGATCATCAGAATAGAGGATTATTTAAAAGTCTAAAAAAATGATGTTTGCTATGAAACTACTTCTCCCTTTATTTAACCTGTCAAATTCCAACTCATGGCCTCATTTCTTTTCTCATACTTAATACTACTTCAAAAACAATGTGTCATTGTAGGAACCACAGCTTGCATTTTCAGTTAGAAGCCTTCTACCAGTTTCATTTTGCAAGATGCAAGAGCAGCTGTAAACATGAGCTCATAGTAGTCTTGACTATTATGCCCTGCTTCAGTTTGAGTACTTTTCATATAATCAAGCTTGTCCCACCAGTAAGCAGGACCTCAGACTACTTTTAAAGTAAGCCTAAAAGAAAAGGTAGATTTCAATCTATATTTTTGCTTTTTATATTAATTTAAGGTTTTGACACCGTTTAAGAAGCATAATTCATAAAAATACATATTTTATGGTTTCTTGAAGAGATTAACATCTTTATTGGGCATAAATGGATTTAGCTTAACTTACTCAGGGGCAAGATAGATACTTTTTTCCTCTGTTATCATCTGCTTATCTTAATTCAGAATCACCAATGTAAAAGAAGCTGTGGCTTGTGTACCTATTGAAACTTAGCTAAGCTCTCATCTTTTAGATAAGAGGTAGGATGGAGTTATGTCTTACTCTTCAAAAATCACACCATTAAACAGTCATGGCAGGGAGTAAGTGCCCCTTGCTTTGTTCTTGAAAAAATATTGTGAGCCTGCTGAATTCAAAACAGTTTGACTCAGTCCACTTCATAAATATAGTAAAGTAAGATTTTTTTAAAAAATTAGTTTTTTTCATTTTCCTTGTTATAAATTATAGTTGTCATAAATTAATCATGTTTTTTAATACCCTAAGTATAAAAAGCTGGATGCCCCTTGAGGTACCTTTGATTTTTTTTTTTTAAGTAAAATATGTTTTGTTATATTTAATGTTAATTATGTACAGAACTATACATTTCTTCCAAAGGTCCATTACCTATCTCAGACAAACATAAATTATTGTTTATTTACTAAGTAAAGTATTAAGTATTTGGTGATTTTTAATTAATGAAAAACCAGTTATGATGTGGTTCAATGTACAAACTTCAATGTACTTACATCTAGAAATTATTATTGTGCTGTGGTAAAGAATGTCTATTTTATTCAGTAGAATATTTTGGGTTATGCTGTTCTGTTTTATTCTTTTCAGCTTAGTGATTGTGTATGTGTGTGCGCGTGCGTGTGTGTGATTGAGAGAGAGCTTTTTTCCTCCTGTCTAAATTCTTTTTCTCTAGCAGTGTTGTAATATTTTTATTTAAAATTATTGCAAATACTTAATCATTACATTCTTACCTCTCAGTGATTAACTAAATTAACAGCATTAAACTAAACCTTGAATTGTAGAGAATAAATTTTATGTCATATTTATGTTAAAACACATCAAAGAAATATTTGATAATTTAAGAGTTATTTGCTCATTGCATATAAGTAGGGAATCACTTTAAAAATTAGAACCTCTAGAATATGATGAGCATGGATTATAGTTTAGGAGGCCCTTGTTACAGACAGTTCTCACAGGAACTCTCTTGCTTTAGTGTTTTCTCTAAACTGACTTAATATTTCTTGGTCCATCTAGCTTATAGAAGTATTGTGAGAGTCAGCTGTCATAATGGGCTTACGGTACTAAAGAAGTCACACATATATAATCAATTACACATCATTTATGACTTGTTGATTCGATTCCTTTTTTGTACACTATAGCAAGCAGATCATCTTAATAACTCACTGAGTATAGTAACTTAATTGATCCTTACAAAACATCTGTATACCAGGCACTATTATTTTGTTCATTTTACAGATAGAAAATAATATACAGAGAAGCTAAGTATTCTGCACTAGATGACACAACCTGTGAATGCTAGAGCCAGGATTTGAGCCAGTCTTTACTCCAGAGTAATAAAATGCTATAATTGGTGACAGATGTAGGGCAGCAGGCTGCTTCTAGCTGTTGGAATGTTTTCTAGTAGGTTCTGAAGACATCCTGTGTCTGTTTCACACCATGGTTAAGTATGGAGTTTACCATGTTTACATTCATCACTCCCAACTTAAAAAAGTTGATCAGTTTTAGATAAAAAAAGACACACATTCATGATCTTAATGAAATTTATAGTGGCACCGAGTTTATTTGTTACTAAAATGTTTTATAACATTATGATAGCTTTCCTGGCATATGACTTTCTAAATAGAAAGATTTTCTCTGTCCATTTGTAGCTTTTGTGTTAGTATCCAAAGTTTCTTTTTAAGCTAGTAATGACTCTTGAATTTGCATGCTACTGTCTTTATTCATGATTAGTACATTCATAGATTATCAGTTGATATCATCTGCAAAATAATGTAAGTCATATAGCAAATAAAACAGTTTGACCCTCTATGAAATCCCTTTAGCTCTGTGTATTGCCTGATATTGAGCAAAGTTATAGTAGAGAGACCAAGATTATTTTGTTTTTATTTTGAAAGGCCTACAGTATGCAGCCTTTCTCCAGGACAGCAACCCCAAACAAGGTGAACTAATTTTGCACTGTTATTTTACTTTAAATCTGCTTTAAAAAAATACTACATTTCTATCTTTCTTTAGGCTAGCTTAGTTAACTCGTGTTAGAATTGTTCATTAACACCATATTGTCTTTACTTTGCTTCTAGTTGGGGATTTTTTTGCTAATAGGTTTGCTTTTTAAAAATTTTCTTCAAGTATTGAAGTGGCTTTACACATACTATGCTGCTAATCAGGCTGTATGAGAATAGTTGCTGACTCTGGTACAGTCCAGGAAATACAGGCTTAGCTTTTGGGCATACATTTTTATTAGAGTACTATGTAAATTAACTCTATTTACTAAAAGAGAAATTGTAGGCAACTCTGCCTATCTTAAACATGCTTATATAATTTATACCTCAGAAAAGTGTGCCCTGGGTTTAGAATGTAATAACTTTTGAACTTGACCTCTGCGTGTTTTGTATATTCTAAACAGCTATTGCTATGATTAAAAGAATGAACAGCACGTATGTCCCCAGACCATACCTTTGATATCCAATAATGGAGTTAGTCATATGCCATTATGTAAATAGTATATACAAATGTTTCTCTACTTTTACTTCATTTGAATTATATTTTATTTCTTTAATTGTTATGAAAACTTGGTCTGCTACTCAACACCCCAATGAGGAAAGATCCATTTTCATCTCATTTTATGGGTGGATGGGTGAGAACTGGAATAGAAAAGGGGTAGAGGTAAAGTGGGGAGGCTAGAGCTTTAGAGCTGCGCACCAAAGTTAAACTCTTGCTTTCTTCTCTTAATTTACGTTGTAACCACTATTTTAAGAATTGCAGGAGATGAATTAATGTAAAAAATTTCAAATGATGAAGGTTGCCACTTTCTTTTGTTAATAATGAGTTAAACATAGCCCCCAAAATTCTTTAAGATATTTCTGAACAACTATGAAAAAAAACACCCTGAAATATTTTGTTTTAAACTTGGCAGAGTTCTGTTAGTTCAAAATAGAGCAGAGTATCTTATCTCCATTCAAACCTAATTTATCAATGATTTTCATATAAATATTAAAATTAAATGCAGCTTACATATGAACATTGTGAAATGGGTACACAATGACTATTGTTTAGTACAGCCAAGCACTACATATATTGTGTCTCTGCAGTGCCTCTACGTCAAACTTGCTGAGATAAGTTTTTTTCCCTACCATGCATTCATCAGGGCTTTATGTCTCATCAGTCAGTATCTTATGATTTTTTTTTTTTAGCAGATTGATTAAAATTACTCCAGTGTAAGTTTACAGAGTATATCCATCTGCAGCAAATAACTAGAAATGGTTATGTTTTTCTTTATTGCTTTGGTCAGTCAAGGCCATGATTTCTGAACAAAACGTAAACTAAAAAGTTTACATTTTTGCTAAGTTAATTAATGTGCTGTAGCCATGACTTTGAAAGTGAATTTTGGAACATTAGTAACTCTCTTCCCTTTTGAAGGTGTTGATAGTAACCCTGTCATATGTTTAGGCAGTAATTAATACATTTCAGCCTTAGGTGCTAAAGGAGTTACTGCCTGCTAACCAAGTGCTATATTTGAAGCCCATTTATTGGGGGAGTAATTGACATAAGAAAACAGTTCAGTTTCAGAAACAACAGTGATTTATAAAAAAGACAAATGATAGCAGAACCCAAGTTTGGAATTCAGGACCCTCATTGGCAGTGGCCTTGATTACACTGTTGTGGGTTAAACCATTGTTCACTTAGTTACCACATCTACAAAAGAAAGCTAAGAATGAATCCATCACCCTTAACAGGTATTTTTTGACAGAAGCTAAGAGTGGCATTTATGAATAATAAATTCTAAATTAAGAGAACTTATAACATTTTCCTGTTTATGTTTAAATTGTATTGGCTGTACAAAAAAGAGTGTAACAAAAAGAAAATGTTGAAGAAAACCTACTGCAGTTATATTCTTTTATTTCCAGGAATAGTCCAAGTAAGAAAATAAACCTACTTCCTTTTAAGTTTTTTTATGGCAATGTCCTTTGGAGAATGTGATTAAACCTTTAGTTTCACATTTTCAATTTATTTTTCCAAATTCAACAGACCCTGAAATTTTGGCAACCTATCAGAACATGGACATTCTGATTAATGGTTATTTTCAATAAAGCATCCAATACCATGGATGAGAAGATAAGAATAGTGAGCATCACCATTTATTACTATTTTCTCTGTTCCCACAGTGAGCTAATTAAGTACTTACTATATCTTTCTAAAAAAGCAGAACAAGACAGAGGTTTGTTTATTTGAAATACTAAGGTATAGATATTTGTCCGGGATATTCAGTTTACTGAAGAAACCATTCCATAGATTATGTTTTTAAAATTGAAGATAATGTTAGACTGCGATTGGCTTTGGACTTATTTTTGAACTGGTTTTGTTATCAATATTTTGAATATTAATATTGTTTAGGAAAGGATTTAAAATTTAAAGAAGCAAATTTGTAGATATTTTCCCCTCTTGTTTTAAAATGTCTAAAATTGTTTATGATGCCTAACTTCTGATGGACTTTAGTTTCAATTTTGTTCTTAGTCATTGCAGATATTGACAAAATGTCATACGAAATTATTTTGTATTTTTTGTAGGACTGGGAAACAGAAAATCATGACTGGTATTGTTTTGAATGCCATTTGCCTGGAGAGGTGTTGATATGTGACCTGTGTTTTCGTGTGTATCATTCCAAGTGTTTGTCTGATGAGTACAGGCTTAGAGACAGCAGTAGTCACTGGCAGTGCCCAGTTTGCAGGGTGAGTACCTATATGAGCTTTAATGTGCTGGTCAGAGGGTTGGAGTTCATTGACAATAGCTGCACAGATACCCCAGGTGGTCGTGCCAGGTTGATGGATAAAGTGCTGGAGGGTGGGGGTTATCTGCTGAAATGATGATATATAAACATAGATCATTTATAAATGGATACCACAGAACACATGACATATTCAGGGTTCGGATTTTAGAAAGTTATAATCATATAAAAATATACTCTCTTCCCTTACTTTACACTTGCCTCTGGATTGTATGACTCCTTCAATGAATAGTCTTTGGGAATTAAGAAACACTCTTCCATACCAAGGTCTGTTCACTTGTTTCCTCTTCGCTACTCAGAAAACAAAGCCAAAAGGCACATTGTTGGAGACATTCTGTATCTGCTTCCCATTTCTATTCATGTAACATTGCCCCCCCCCCCTTATTTTTTGTCACATCATGGGTTACTTTTTTTCTTGCTTATAACTCATTTGGAGGGTGGATGGATGGGACAGTTGTATGTATATAAAGAATTCTAATTTAAAGCAAAATGAAATAGGCTGGTAGGTAAAATAGGTACTTTCCACAATTATTTTCATTCATATTATATCCCCATTGAAAATTATACATGCTGTGCTTGTTGGTTGCAGGATGTGGTGTGTGTGTATATGAGTGATGTGCGATACCTAAATACTGCATTACATGTGGCAGTGATGGTGATTAGCAGTGACTTACTTGATTGTAGTAACCTCTATTATTTTGTACTTAAAATTATTAAGATACTTATTTGAAACTATGCAGATAACCTAGATTACTGAGTTGTTTGTGAATATATTTTATAATATTGGAATAACTTAGATATTCATTTGTTATTCAAAAAAAATACTTGTCTTCATAATTTTTCTTTGTTTTTAGCCAAACATGTTCTGCCAGTATGATGAGCAAAAGATAGTGTACATTCTAGTCTTTTCTTAGTACCTATAGTTTTGTATTACTTTAAGTGTACCACATCCTACCAGCATACTGTACGTATTTCATAGGCAGATAAAAGACCATTGAGATAGTATTAAAAAATAATGTGATGATGATGATGTAATAAAATGCCTAAATGCTACATAAGTAGTGATAAATCCCTAGAACTGAATATATCAGTATCAAGCCTCAAGTTATAGACCACCTTCTTTTTAAGGTCTTCCAAGAATTTATCTATCTACAAAAAATTATTGTAATTGGGGGATAGGAACTGCATTTAATATTCATATTTTATTTTGATTTGTGCATTTTATAAACAAATATATTTCCTGTTTTCTGGTAACAATTTAAAGTAAGTGAAGAACAATGAGATCTTAAGAACAAAAAGAATTACAGTATAAAAATATAAAAGAGATGGGGCCACTGACCAAATACTTAGGAATTTAGGAAGTACAATGTTGAATATACCTGTGTCTTTATAGCTATAGTTTTTTAATATTTAATATTTGGTTCTTATTATCATAGTGAAGAATTTAAACAGTAACACTAGGATTTTTAAGCATGGGTTAAACTTTATTGCTGGTGTTTCATATTCTTTACATGAAGAATGGAAATTGAATAGTATACTTCTGAAGAAAATGTGAAATATTTCTTCCATTAGAATTTACCATCTAGTTGTCAGATTCCATTTTCTATGTGTTTGCTGTACTCTTTACTGATCAGATGATTTAAAAAAAATTTTTTTTCAGAGAGTTTTACTGGCTCACACAGAAACATGATAACCAAAATGGAATTAAGCTTACTCCATCCTCATTTTCTTTTCTTCCCTCTGGGTTTCTACTTGTCTTTGTCAGTCTAGATATTCTCATATTGTAACATAATTACATTTACTGAAAAGGAAGCTGCAAGTCAACTAAAAATTATTAATACTTTTGTTTCATATTCTGTGAGCTACTCTTTGGTTAGGCTCAAAAGGCCTTTTTCTGGGATGGGGTGGTGAGTTTTAACTTGAGTTTTAAACTTTACAAAGAAGTAGTGCTTTCTATGTTAGAATTATTGTACTTTAATTGTTACTTTCAAGAAAAAGATTAGTATTATCTTCTCTTTTTGGGAGAAGAGGTAATAATCTTGAAATTTGAATGGAATTTTAAATATCTTTAAGGTAAATTTTCTTGCTTGATTTTTGTTGTTGTTTAACAAAGTGTCAAAACTTCAAGTAAAGCCATTTTGTAAAATAATCTAACATGCGTGTGACTGACCAGATTTAAATATTCATGGACTAAGAGAACTGAGAGACTGCAATTTAAGGACTATGGTTCCAAACCAGAAAAACGTCTTTTCTTTTTTCTTTTTAATTAATGTTTGGGGAAAATATAGACTAATTAGATATGCTAATGAGGAATTTTGAAATAGATGCCCAGAACAAAATTTTAGTGAAGGCTTAGCAAATAGATAGAACTTCAGCCATTGTTATCTAAAATTCAAATTTAAAACATTTCTAATATTTTATGGCAATCAGAAGGTTATTTTATTTTTTACATAACTTCTGCCCCTCAGTATTGAAAAAGTCACTGAACATGTCAATTCTAATTAAAAATAAAATTTAAAAAATAATAAGAGAACACGTAAGGATTCATTTTCAAAAGTCACTTAGAATAGGTTCTCTCTCCTTAGCCATCAGCTATTGTTACTTCAGCTCAAGCAGCTTTATCTCAAATATCTGACTATTTCTGAAATATTTTAAGAAGGTAATGGTTGGAATTTTTCTCAACTTACATAATTTTATTAGTTTTCTTAATCTTAAGAATATCAGAATTCAGGATATTTCTTTGGAATGTTTGCCTTTCTAAAAAAAATTAAGCTGTTATTTTATAGATGTAGTAGATTGTTATTGAAAAATAGCCTATGAATATCAGATTAGCATTTTGCTTTGAAGAAAATTTGAGTCATGTTCTTTTTCACACTTTTCAAAAATGTTTTTATTGATTTCAGAGAAAGGAAGGAGAGGGAGAGACAGAAACACAATTGATGAGAGAGGATCATTGATTAGCTGCTGCCTCCTGTACACCACCTACTAGGAATTGAGCTGGAAACCTGGGCATTTGCCGGATCTTGAACTGTCACTTCCAGGTTCATGGGTTGACACTCAGAGCCACACTGGTTCACATTCTTGTTACTGAAAACTGTCATTAGTTTAAAAAAAGGGGGGGGGCGGGGGGAAGAGAAGGACTTAAAATATTTATTTTAATTTGGTTGTAAAAAATTCAAGTAATTTAGAGACTAAAAAAAAAAAATTTCTGGAAATGTTGTCACATAATAGGTGAATGTCTCATAGATATATGTCCTGCCCTTCCCTCCGAGCTCATCCTCGGAGGGAAGGGCAGGACAGATATCTATGAGACATTGTATCTTATCTATATAATTTTATGTATATTGCTAGATGGAATCAGTTTGTTTCTATTAAGCCATGTCCCAATCTTTTATGTATCATAATGTGCCATAATTTATTTAACCAGTGCCCTACTGGTGCTTATTACATTGCTTCCATTGGCCTGTCCGATCAGTAACATCACACTGAAACTTAGCTGTCAAAGGGGACATTCATGTTGCTATGTTCAGTCATCCCTCACTTTCCACTCTAAAGAGCAGTCTTCTCATTATATTTGGATGTATTTGAATTTTATATTACTGAATCAGCCATGAATTTTCTAGGGGGGGGAAATAAAAAACCTTAATAATTTTTAAGTCAAAATTGCTTTTAAGATTTTATTTGCCTAAAGAATATATCTTTAGCCAAAACTGGTTTGGCTCTGCGGTAGAGCGTCGGTCTGCGTACTGAAAGGTCCCAGGTTCGATTCTGGTCAAGGGCATGTACGTTGGTTGCCGGTACATCCCCAGTAGTGGGTGTGCAAGAGGCAGCTGGTCGATGTTTCTCTCTCACCGATGTTTCTAGCTCTCTATCTCTCTCCCTTCCTCTCTGTAAAAAAATCAATAAAATATATTTAAAAAAAAAGAATATATCTTTAAAACACAGTGCAATCAATTGTATTTTTTAAAAAGAGGTAAAATAAATTCACTTCTACCTATGTAATTCTGTCTGATCTATTTCATAGGATAGAAGTAAATTTATTCTTCAGAGGACAAATTCATTGAAGTGAAAATCTTAAATTAAGGGATAGGCAAATGTAAATTTGTGATAAAAATCACTAAATTGTTCTGCAGAAAATTATACCCATCTATTCCAACATGAAAGTATTTTCTATTTTTTTAAAACTAATTTGATATAGTACAAGTGTCTGTATTATTTTAATGTTGCTTCCTTTCATAAATGTATTTTCCAACCTACAAAGTCATTTTATCCTTTGATGCTGTGGTTATAGAAGATAGGCCTAGGAGTGTACACAAGCCTATGTGCACTTGTGTGTGTGGTGTGTGTGTGTGTGTGTGTGTGTGTGTGTGTTATTTCTGTATGAACACACATATGCATGCATATAGCTGTTGTGTGTGTGTGTATACCTTTGTGGTGCATGTCTGCAAGCATGGTGTGTGTGTGGAAGGTGGGGGCACCTGTGTACATATTGTGTATGCATGTCTGTTGTGCATTCAAGTGTACATGTGCATGTATACATACACGTATTCATGTGTGGATGTGTGTGCATGTTTTGCATTTTTGCTGGCCTCCAATCTTGCTGGTGAACATTATGATACTGTTTGAGTTATGACTACTTGAAATTTTTAAAAATATACAAGCAGGTTCATGTGTTACAAAGAAACCCTAGGACCATCTCTGAGACTGGAGCACCAAGTTGCTTTTTAGACCAGCACTTTCTGGGAGACCTTTTTGTGGGGATGGAAATGCTCTATCTGTGTTGTCCAGTAAGAACTATCAGTTATGTATGTTTATTGCGAGACCCAGAAATTGGAATTCAACTTGGCAAATGTGGCTGTGGCTACCTATTGTATCATACAGTGCTTCAGAACTGCATGTTCTAAATGCTTGTACTCCCAGAGAAGCATTCAGTACTTTGGTACT